ATTTTAAAGTTAAATATAGCAATATATAAAGATGAATGTTTAAATTAATAAAAAAGACATAACTGTGTAGGCCACCTATACCTACAGATATGGCTACCTGGGAGGCTGAAAGAAGAAAGTCACAAGTTTGAGGTTAGTTTCAGCAACACATTGAGAAATTTCATCAAAATTTTAAAATTTGGTGGGGTGGAATATAGCTCATCATGAAGCCTTTGATTCACTCTCTACTAATCCCCCATTAAATATATACACATATATGTACTCCCAAAACAAGTATATTATTTTTTAAAACTGGAGAACATACTGAATCCATGAATATCAAACAACTGGTCTATTTTACAAGCTGGCAGATCAATCAGAATTAGTAACTGCAAGCAGGAAGGAAAATACAGTCAATTAACTTAATTTAATAAGTATGTGTAAAGTCTTTTCCTAACAGACTATGCACTCATTGAAAAGAAACATTTAAAAGAAACATTTCACTTTTGCACATGGAACTTTAACGAGCCAAAAATTCTGATTAAAACTTTCTTTTATCACAATGCAATAATAGCTTAATGAAATAATATAAAATAGTATTCTTCAACATTGGAAAGGAAATAGTATTCCAAGTCAATGAATTAAAACATACACATTAATATTAATGTGAAATTTAGAACTAAATAAATGAAAGAACTACTGAAATTAAGCTTTCAAAATTTCAGTCAAAAGGCAAAAGAAGGTCAATTAAGACTCAGGACATAAGAGAACTTGTACTGTAATGTCATGTAACTCAGCAGTGTCACAAATTTTCTGATCAAGGAGATTATGGGGCCAGAGAGGAAAGTGATCGATGATGTAGAGTGTGCCTAAGGAGAGTCACATGGAGAGAAAACTTTCTCTCAGGCTTTCACAGAGAGCACATTGGCCAAGCAATGGCCGTGACTTATCCACATGGCTGAAACTGACAAAGGTTCTACAATCTGAGGAGCAGGATCTTGGGATAAATCCTGAGGGGATTTCACTGATCTTATCAGACCCAAAAGCTACAACTCTTGTTGCATAGGTCCTGCTTTACCTTGGACTTGGCCATCCAGGAGAAAAGTATGAAAATGAAATATAAGAAGTAAAGCCATGCTGTTATGTTGAGCTGTGGGGTACTCAGGTCAACAATTTCTGACATTGCCAGTCAAGCAGAAGTCCCAGTACTATTATGGGCTAGTGGAATCTTTTGGAATATTTTGCTGAATTTACACACTTATAATATTCAAATAATGGAACTTAACAACAAAAAAAGGGTATACAGAAAATTGTATCTGTGTATTCAAAGTGGTTTGGATAGATATATAGTTACATTCTCTTAATGAATAGAACGATTTGTTCTAATGGTGTTTGTGAATAGGATGTCAAGTCCGCATCTTGTACAGCAATTAACCACTAGAAAGAACGTATGCAGTGTGTTAATTATTGAAACCATCCTACCGATTTGATTTGCAACTGTCTCATTGCTATTTGTTTATCAATAAAATTATGGGAAAAAATTTCAGTCAAATCTGGAAAACTCAAGAGTGCATATAGTAAAATAAAAGATAGATTAAAATAAAAAATAAAGATAAAGAGGGTAAGGATGTAGTGCAGTATGACACTCTGGGTTTAATCTCTAACACTGGAAAAATATAGAAAAACATAGTCAAAATCATTCAAAATATAGAGCATACTAAATTTATGTACAGTAAAATTTTAAAATATTTCAGACACACAGAGATCAAATAGAATTAGTTGCTATGAATGAACAGGATATGAATAACACAAATAAGTTTAACTTAATATCTTTAGTCTTTTACAATCAAGAGGCTACAATAATTTCAAACAAATTGTTCACTTTTCAATGAAACAATAAATGTAGATCCTTAATGTTTGATTAACAAAATTTCCAGTATATTTCAGAGTGACACAGAATATAAACAGTTATCATTATAATTAAATAGTACTAGGATGAAATAAGTAATAACAATATTTTATATGCTTAGAAAAGGACTTGTACTCTAATTCAGTGAATAAAAAACACAATAATACCAATGTCAAATTTAGAACAGAGAAGTAACAAAAGTATTATTTAAACTGAAGCTTGGAAATTTCAGTGAATTCTGAAATGTTCATATTTCTGAATACATTTTATAGAGAAGGTATTAATAAAAGTAATAGAATACTTAACTCAGGAACATAGACATGGATGAAAAAATTATTTGGTCTGTTATCCTGCCTATTGAGCTGTGTTTATAATAAATGACTTGATAAAGACTTTAAAAAAATAAATAAATAAACCTGATGTTGTCAAGGAGAAGAAGTGTTATGTGCATGCATCAATTCTCAAAAAAAAGTGCTATCTCAATTGTTGCCTTGGACTTGTTGAGATAAATCAATTAAAACTCAAATGAAGGGCTGGGGGTGTGACTCAGTGGCACAAGTGCCGATCTGGCAAGAGAAGGTCATGCATTCAATTCCCAGCACCAAAAATAACAAAAGTCAAAACCCATCAGATGAAAGTATAGTTAATAAGACATATCATGCAGAGGAAAAATATGAGAATTTGAAGACAAAGTAGATAAACTGGACTATTCAGAAAATAATAAAGAAAAATTATTAAACTACGAACAAAATGTGCTAGAGCATCAAGACCTCATTAACAGACAAAACCTGAGAATCAAAAACATCAATGCAGAAGTAATAAAGATTAATTGTGTAGAAAACCTATCCAGTACAAAAATAGCAGAAAATTTCCTTAGTCTGATAAATGAGATTAATTAATGTACCACAGGCACCAATACATACAATCAGAATTTTTCTTCAAAGCATGTTGTACCATAAGTTTAAAACAAACTTTTGGCAGCTGTGAGGAAGAAATCTGTAAGAAAGAAAACCAAATTAATTTCACAATTACTGCAAATTCATTAGGACAATAGCAGATTTCTCAACAAAAATGATAAAAGACAGGAGGTTATGGAATGTTGTGCTTCAAATCATAAAAAAGTAATTACCAATATGAACTAAGATTACTATATCCTACAGTGCTATCCTTCAAGATTAAAAAAGAAATATGACACCCCAAAGTAAGTTTTAATTAAAGTAATTCATGATCTTAAGTCAGTATTGCAGAAAATACTTACAGAAGCACCAAAACACTATAAAGAGAAAATGAAGATAGACACCACCATAAAGGAAGGGAAAATATAAATCTTAATTTGTAGATAAAACAAAGAGCATTATTAGATTAAAAATGAAAATGGACTTGTAATTACTGTATAATTAATTTTAATTTCTCTCTTACAGCTTTGAAGACATTTCTTTGTTTTACATTTTTGGTACAACATGCACTGAAAAGAAATTCCTTCTGTGTTTGGTGGGGCCTGCAGCACTTCCCAGACCAAAGAAATTTTCTGATATTGTTTCACTGAATATAAAGAAATTAAGCATTAGAAAAACAGAAAAAATTACAAGGATTAGTATGTGAATTTCAAGAATAACCTTAAATGTCTTGTGGTGAGTGGTCTTGCTTCACTTAGAATGGCTTCATTAAAAACAGAAAAACTAGGGCTGACCAAATAGCTCAGGGGACTAAAGGGCCTGCAAGCAGGTGCAGGGACTAGGGATTTGATTCTTGGAGCGCTGAGCTGGCCCCACTCCCGGGGGGTGGGGGGAGCTGAGAGGACAATTAAGACTGAGCGTGGTGGTGTGCGCCTGTAATCCCAGCACTTGGGAGGCTGTAAACAGGCGGATCACAGAGTCTGATCTCATGGTAAGACCTTGAACACCCTGTACACCCTTCCCTAGGATTAAAAAAAAAAAACCAACCAACCAAACAAACAAACAAAGAAAAAAACCCACAAAAACTAACAAACTCTGGTGATGATACAATGAAAAAGAAACAGCACAGTCATATTAGAAATTATAGCAAGAATGGAAACCGTGATGGAGGTTCATTAGAAAACTCGACAAGGAAACACCATATGATCCAGCTATTTCATTCTGCAGTATACATCTGAATGAATTAAGATTATGATACAACAGATATAATCTCAATGCCCATATTTATTATTGCAAAATTACAACAGCCAAGCTATGAAATCAAGTTATGTGCCAAGCAATGCATGTATGGATAATGAAAATTGAGAATATGAACACAATGGAGTATTTTCAGTCACAAAGAGCAATGAGCCAGACTCAGAAACACAGGTGTCATATTTTCGCTCTCATAGGTGAAATGACAAGAAGAAAGATAGCTTAAAAGTAGAAGGGGAATATAACAGCATACTCCATGTTTTTTTTTTTAATTATTAAACCAAAATAGTAAAGTGCTTAGAATAATGGCTAGAACAAATGAACATCAACAAATATTGGCTAGTGTTATAGTAACCACAGTACACTGGATAATATTTTTTAATTAAACATTAATTTCAGAGTCAAAAATTGTGCAATCAGGAAAGTAACTTAGAAGAACACAAGCTTTACTGCTGGGGAGATGGATCAGTAGAATAAGTGCTTCCCTGGCAAGCGCAAGGGCCTGAGTTCAATTCCCAGTTGCACCAAATAAATAAATAAAAAATAAAAAAGAAGAACACAAGCTTTGAACAGGTTCAATATGGAAAAATTGCAAAACAGTGAAAGACAGTATGTCTCTATTTGCATGCTACCAACTGAGAATCTAGCTTTCACTTTAAATTCAGTCATGCAATACAGCAGCCCATTGAAGATCATATGAAAATTTAATTTGAACCGTTTGGATATCACTGTTTTCCATAAATGCTGCACTGAATTCATCTGCTGCATTCATCCTCTGAGGATTTGCTTGTTGATGGTGGTCAGAGAACTTAGAAGAAACAAGCAGCTAATGGCCCATCCAGATGTCCGGGGCACATAGATTTCAAAGTCATTATATCAAATGAATAAGAATAATTGATGTCTTGATTTTTTTTTCTACTTCTTCAGACATGAGAAGTTTTCTATGGAACACTTTGGTCACCATGATAATTGCAGAATTTGTTACTGGAAATTTTGCCAGTGCATTCATAGCCCTGGTGAACTGCATTGACTGGGTAAAGAGGAAAAGGATCTCTGTAGTTGATCGGATTCTTACTGCACTAGCTGTCTCCAGGATTGGCTTGATGTGGACACTAGTCACAAGTTGGTTTTTGAAAGTGTTTCATCCAACTGCCTGTACTAAAGTAATAAATTTTACTTGGATTGTCTGGGAAATAAACAATCATTTTAATATTTGGCTTGCCACTATCTTAAGCATATTTTACTTTCTCAAAATAACTAACTTCTCCAACTTTATTTTTCATTACCTAAAGAAGAGAGTTAATAAAGTCAGTTTAGTAATTTTTTTGGGGGGTTTGGTGTTCCTGCCTTTTAGTTATATGATGACACCTGTGTATGAAACTAAGAATATAAAAGGATATTTAGAGAATGTGACTGGGAAGCCTGAACTGAAGGGTGGTATATACCTTTCCAGAAGAATTTTATTCATGCTAGTAAAGTTTCTACCCTTTTTGATGTCCTTGACCTGCAGTCTTCTATTAATCTCCTCCCTGATTAGCCATCTCAAGAAGATGAAGCTCCAAGGCAAAGGATTCCAAGATCTCAGCACAAAGGTCCATGTAAAGGTCTTGCTAATTGTGGCCTCATTTGTCTTGTTATTTGCCATCTACTCTGTGTCTGTGATCACTTCAGGTTGGTATGTGCACGATTTGTGCCTTGAACCAGTCTATTTGTTTCATCTGGCTAGTGAAATTTTATATCCTTCAGGCCACTCATGTGTCCTAATTTGGGGAAACAAGAAGCTGAACCAGGCATTTATTTTAATTCTGTGTCAGGCAAAGTGCTGGCTGAAAGGAGTTGAAACTTTCATATTTATAGGTTAGTAACAGAGTCAGAGCATGAATTTTAGCAGAAAGCAAATGTTTGGATGGTACAACAATTTGTATTTCTTTTCACCATGTATTTGAATAATTCTAAAGATATTTAGAGAAGTCTGGTAGTTAACCTTAAATAGAAGGGTATGTGCTTTATGTTAACAAAGTGCGTACAAAAAATATAAGAAACATTGTCAATAAAATGCTTACTTATTTTTATGCAAACACATATGTGTATTAAATATGTAGGAAGTTTCTCAGAATTGTGAATCCAAATGTTTTTCACATACATAAGCATTGTTGTTTTCTGGTTGAAGAAATATAAGATTCATATGTATGCCTTATAAGTCACTGTAATCTTATCCCAAGAAATGATTGCTACTTTTCCTTTGTTTGTACCACATAATGATATTAAAGTGTGTTAAGATTTTGACAACTGAACTTACAATTTTTTGAAAGTAAAATATTATTTAATATCATAAGTAACATCATAGATGTTTATGTATTGTTGACTTTATTTGTTCAAAATTGTTTTCATATTTTATAGATCAACATGATTATTATTTTAAAATATGCACACAGTAAAATACTATTGAAATATTCATGTTTATAGAATTTTTGCATAACAGTATGATAATAGTAGAAAAGTATATCAGATTCCACACCAATAGATGAAAAGGATAGAAAGATTATGCATCATAAAGAAAGAAGGGAAAATTGTGATCAGAACATTATTTTAATGTTGTAAGGAATAAATCAGGAAGCACATATTCTTCACTTCCGAAATAAAGAATACTTTTTTTTTTACTTGTGGCCCAATTTTAAATATTTTATTTTCTTTCCCTAAACAACTCTGGAATCTCTGAGGCCAATCATTTCTTTATTTTCCATATTTAATGTTTCTTTCAAATGTAGCCTATGAAGGAAGACTAACTGCACTTTTACTTATCTTAAAATTTTTCTCACAGAAAAAATAGTACACAATTCATTTTATATAATTTAGAAATGTTCATTCAATCATTCAGAAGACATCTGTCAATATTTAACATACTGAAAATTTCTTAAAGATCAGGTTAGTATTCTCATGTGTAAAATGTGGAGATGAGAGAATATGTATTGATAGAATCATTTTAATGGCAACAACCAATGATTTTAGCGTCTGGATTTCTAATAGTCTTGGCATATTTTATTTGCTCAAAACAGATAATTTTTCCACTCTTCTTTTTCTTCACCTAAAGAAGAAAGTTCACAGCATTATTTTATTGACAGTATGGGTGGGATTGGTATTTCCTCTTTTTAGACTTGGGATCATTTATGTACATCATATAATGGGGCTGGAAAAGCACGAAGGAAATGTGACTTGGAAGACAGAGCTGAGTGAGGCTATCATTAGCACATTCACTGTAGCTTACTTCATACCCATTATTATATCCATCATTTGTTATCTGGTGTTAATCTATTCCCTTCATAAGTATCTTGGACAGATGCTTCAATACAGTAATGGATCCCAAGATCCCAGCACGAAGGTCCATGGGAAGGCTTTGAAGACTGTGCTCTCCTATCCTTTATTAATTGCCATGTACTCGCTGACTGTGGTCATGTCAAATTGGAGCTTGACTGTTTTTCAGGATGAATCAGTTTTCTTGCTTTCCCAGACTTTTGCAACTTTATATCCTTCAATCCATTCGTGTGTCCTGATTTGGGGAAACAAAACTGAAACAGGCATTTGTGGCAAGCAAGGTGCTGCTGAAGGAAAAGAAACCTTCAAGAAGAAATCATCAATAGAGTGACACTGTGTGACTTCTAAAAGAAAGCTGTGACATTCTGTATTCTACTTTCTTTTTTTTATAGGGAAGGGTCTGCAGGGTGTTCATGGTCTCACTACTAGGTGGTGGAATTTCATTATAGTACATTGTAGAAGGATAATCTGGATTACACGAGGATGCTTGGACAAGTAATAAAAATTACTCTTCAATGATAATGAAAAGTCTTGTTAAGTTATATCCCTAGAGTCAAGAATCTTTTATCAAATTAGATATTTGTGTTATGGTTTAAAGTTTTATTAGATGAAAGTTAAACTTTGTGAATGCAAATTGTGTGGAGGTTAAACAAGGCAAGAATGAGCAAATTGATGAAAAACATTATGGCTTCTTTTGTGTGCTAGCAAATCAGAATTCTATTTTCACCCAAAAATCTGCATGAAAGAACCGAGTCCAGTAAAGCATATGATAGATGGAAAAGATGGATTATGAGCAATTCTGGAATGACTATATGTTATGTAAGAGCACCTTTTTACTCCTCTTTCACAGTTTAGTGCTTTCCTATATTTTATGGATCACAACATGGGAAAGAGAGTAAGATATGGTAATTAAGTGTTGCTGGAGAGAAATTTAAACCAAGAATCTTAAATTTCACTCCCCTCCTCCCCACCACTGATAATGTGTGTTATTAAACAGCATATATACACATGCAATGAGAAATTTCTGTTCAGAAATTTTGTCAAAGTGTTCCTAGCACTGGAGAAGTGTATTATCCACCTCTGAGATAATATATTTTCTAGAGCTGCAGATAGAATTTTCTCTGTTCTAGCTGTCTCCAGGGTTGCTTTGCTTTGGGAAAGTTAAGATACTAGTGATTCATCCAAGTTCACATAGTAGACAACTGGGGGTCACTGTTACATCTTTCTGGACTGTAATCAAGCAATGCATCACTTGGCTCACTGCTGACTGCAATGTATTTTATTTGATGATAATAGCCAGTTTCTCCAACCATTACATAAAGGGGAGAAAAGAGTTTTGTACTAGTGGTGATTTTGGATTATTTGTCTTTAAATTTTTTTTTGTAGTAAACATGAGAACGTGAAGATGTAGGAATATGCAGGCAATGTGACAAAGATCAAATTGAGGGACACTGTATTTTCAGAATTTTTATTTTTATTCATATCATGCCAAGATTTGGGAAATTTTCTGCTATAAAGAAGTATTTTATAAGACAACATTCAGTTATCTTGTATGTTCTTTTTCCAATAACCTATTTTTTAATTACTAAGTGTGCCAATTATTCACCTGTATTCAAGCCTTAATATTATTTCATTCATTTGATTTAGTATATTCATGTGTCTTTCAATTAATTTTTTAATTTGATTAGTAACTTTTCATTTTTAGAATTTTTATTGAAATGTTTTTAGATTCTACACTTCTTGATTCAATTATTTGCATCCTTTTAAAATTTATTCATCATTTAAAAATAATCTTCCAATTTTTTGCCCAGCATTTCATTCATTTCAGTATCTTTGGATACAGTGACTAAAGCATTATGAATTTTGAAGTGATTATTACTTTTTCCAGATGAGGAATGCGTTGGAGGCTTCCCACTGGTCCTACACACAATTAGTACCACTGTGTTGGTCAGGAAACATTATGGGAGTGTATTACCAGTCAAATCTGAGTGTTCAACCAGAATCAAATGAAGAACTACAAACCCAGTAAATCTGCCTTGGGATGGACACAGTCAAAGCTCTAGAGGGCATCTGACTTTCAGAAAGTCTCAATCCATATATGGACCACAAGATCTTTTTTTGGTCACCAGATGTCAATGACTTCTGGGCTCATACCTGCAAGACCCAAAGAATGTGGATGTGTGCACTTTCCTCTGGAAAGTTATCTGGTAACAGAGCATTAGTCTTTGGGGGGCATCTCCTGAGTATATCCTGATGATTCTAGTGGTGGTATTTTAGGAGCCCTTTTGAAGGGTATTTAGACTTTAATCAATCATTGACTCATTGATAAGAAATAAGGGCTGTGACTTTTCACTTGAAATGTTAGCCTCACAAGTAATCATTCCAACTTTTTTTTTGCTTATAGTATTTCTTAGACTTCAAAGCTTCCTACCCTAGTTGACCTATCTGTTTGGGATAAGGGGATGTTAAAGTCTCCTGTTATGATTGTGGTACTGGATATTAGATTTTTCATGTCCATTAAGATTTGCTTTATATAGTTGGGTGCTCCTGTGTTTGGTGCATACATATTTATGAGTGTTACTTCCTTCTCTTGAATTTTTCCTCTAACCAGTATATAGTGGCCTTCTTTATTTCGCTTGATTATTGTTGGTTTGAAGTTGAGACTGAGAATAGAATTGCTATCACTGCTTTTGCTTCCTACTCCATAAGGCTGATGTTTTTAGCACTTACCTGGGTCTGATCTTCATAAAATATCCAGTGCTCTGTGCTGTCAGTGCCCCGTCTTTAACCCTGCCTGGCCTATCAGTTCTATTGGCCAGAAGTAAACTTTCTTTATAGAAACCTGCCTTTTCTCTCTGGGCCACTAAGCACAGTTTTCTACTCTCTTGTCTAAGTTCTTCTTTTTCTACCAAAAGTAAAAAAACACCAGAAAGGTTAAGGGCTCCATCTCCAACGTATATACAATTTATGCTAACTTTGATGGTGGTCCTACACATTCTCTTTATTAAGAACTTGCTACACAGCTACACAGTGAAAAGTAATGCTGATTATTCTACTATCTATCTATCTATCTATCTATCTATCTATCTATCTATCTATCTATCT